TGTTATAGTCAAATACACACGAGCACTCAAGAATTTCATTTTTAGACCGATATTTTTGCACTACCTTTGTTAGAGAAGCTTACAACACTTGAACAAATGGAAGATTTCAGAGGACTGAAATAAAAGGTCTAGTAATTGATCATGCTAGATGCGTCATTTTGTCTGTACTCGATTAAAATGCCAAACCAAAGAAAAACATGTTGCGATATTTCAAAAAAATGACATTTTGGGTTACCGAAACCTTATAAATGAAGCCAACCTGAAGTCAACTCATCTATTTGAACATTTGTCAAAGAACTATAACTCTGAAAGCATTAAAAAGAGCTATTGATTCCTTTGATATACTTTGAACTCATGTTTACAATTTGATTCAATTACGAACAATATTTTACATAATTTTTATCATTTTCCCTCCTAAAACAAGAAAAATGAGAAAATATTTTCAAACATGACAGTCTCAAATATGGAAGGTCGGTAAAGCCAAAGCTCGAGAAGCAAATGGGGCACGATCGATTTCATAGATCAGATTGGCAGACAAAACACGGGACTCCAATCCAAGAGATAAACATAACTCATTCATGTTGCATGCATCTTAGACATACTTAAGAGCATCACATTTATCATTTGTAGCACACATAATTTTTTACAGCTTTTAGAGTCAATTTCAACTTCGCAGCAAATGAGATTGGACTAAAAAAAACACAATTTGCTCGAGAGTAGATTTCAACTTCACGACGAAGGATATTTGACTCGAAGCCAAACTTTACAACGAATGGGTCATCCACAGTTCAACTTCACGGCGAAGGGAATCGTGTCCACCTGCAACATACAATACTTGGATTTCAACTTCACGGTGAAGGATATTCAAGTCAAGGCTCAACTTCAAGACGAAGGGGTCATCCACGATTTCAACTCCATTATGGAGGATATCATACCCAAACATCCACGATTTCAACTCCACGACGGAGGATATCGTGTCATTCGGGGCTCAACTTCACGACGAAGGGGCTTCCCAATTTCAGAGCTAATTTCAACTTCACAACGAAGGATATTGGACTCAAGACAGCACAAGCTCAACTTCACAGCGAAGGGGCGGCTGACTGTCAACAAATAATTTCCCAATTTCAGAGCCAATTTCAACTTCATAGCGAAGGGGCGGCTGACTGTCAACAAATCATTTCCCAGTTCCAGAACCAATTTCAACTTCACGGCGGAGGATATTGGACTCGAAGCAATACAAATTACTTGGATTTCAACTTCACGACGAAGGATATCCAATTGTAAGGCTCAACTTCATGAGAAATGGGGCACCCGCAGCTTCAACTTCACGACGAAGGGAATCGTGCACACAAACAACATCCATCTCTAGATTGGATTTCAACTTCACGACGAAGGATATCCAACTCAAAGAAGGAGTGTCTGTTAATAAACTTTCCAGTTTCAGAGTTAATTTCAACTTCACAGCGAAGGATATTGGCCTCGAAACATCACAACTTACATTGGATTTCAACTTCACGACGAAGGATATCCAACTCCAAGGTTCAACTTCACGACGAATGGACCATATATGATTTCAACTTCACGACAAAGAGAATTATGCTCACCAGCAACATTAATCTTTAGATTGGATTTCAACTTCACAATGAATGATATCCAATTCCAGGCTCAACTTCACGACGAAGGGGCCATCCACGGTTTCAACTTCACGACGAAGGGAATCGTGCTCACCAAAGGCCTTAAAGTTCGACTACGCTCAGCTCCAAGCCACATCATTTGCAGCATAACTTAAGTCGAGAAGAGCTATCTGCCAACCGAAGACCTTCGAGTTTGACTACGCTCAGCTCCAAGCAAGAAGGGCTATCTGTCAATAAAATTGTCGAGTTTGACTCCATTCAGCTCGATGACACCTCAATCACACTACTGTCTAGCTGCAATCGAGGTTTTCAAGCCGAGAGGAAGATCTGGGTTAGTCATGCCTTAGTGATAAAAAATATTTTCTGGCAGCATAACTTAAGTCGAGAAAAGCTATCTGTCAACGAATATCTTTCGAGTCCGATCCCATTCAGCTAGAGGGCCTGTCAACCACATGGAGGAGTCAAAGAACTATTTTCCAGTCGAATTTTCCAACCAAGGTCTTTAAACTGAGAAGAAAACCAAAGGGCAACGAGAAGTCGCATCCCCGATTCAAATCTCGATCTGCGGCTTCAATTCCATATCATTTCAAGATGGACTCGATCTGCGGCTTCAATTCCATATCATTTCAAGATGGATTCGACTTCGCGACGGAGGAGCCATCCACAACCCAATTCGACAGAGAGTTATTCTTCAACTCCACCGAACGAAAATTTGTGTCTTTTTATCTTTGTCCTATTTTTCGTTTCACGAAAAAGGACAAAGAGGGGCAACTGTAGACACTCATTTTCGTCCATATTTTTTATTTTTTTATTATATAGTTTCTTAAAAACGTTTTGAAAATACGTATAATATAGTTTTTAAAAAACATTTTAGAAATTTATATATTATATGTTTTTGAAAATATTTTTATATATAAGTATATTATTATTATTATTTTATTAATTTATATATTATAATTATTTTACAGGCCTCGGTATATTTTAATGTGTGGCAACCCGAGGTTGTGCGTGGATGGTACAACAACATATCAGGATTGAGTCATCAAATCCGGGGCACTCAAGGCCGAAGATCACCCACCTAGGCGAAAACTTAAGAACTTTTAATGGATAACTCAAGAAGCCACGTTCCCTTTGCACAACGGGATTTCTTTCCTGCCATGCAAGGACACGTCCCAAAATGGTACCATGCATGAGGGACCCATGATGAAGATGAATGGTTAATGAGTCTCTGAATGCTTGGAAAAAAAATGAGTTGGCTCCTAGTTTGTAGGAGAACGTTACTTGTAGTTGGAGACCACGATCCCGAGAATTCTTCTTCTCGCTGCCTTTTTATTTGTTTAAAATCTCCAAACATCATCTAAAAAGGGGGGGAGCATATTTACAAACGGAGGATCTTCTTCTTAAAACCTCTCTCAGACCAATCTTCTTCACTTCCCCAACTTCCATGGCCGCATTCTTATGCTATGCATCACCTCTTTTCGCTACGTTGCTACCTTCGTTCTTCTCTTTCGTGGGTCTTGTTTGAAAAATGGTTGAAACCCGAGCATGATTCGACCATCTCTGGGGAAAGCCATGGATCGACTGGTGGCCTTACTTTTAGTGTCGTTTTCTCTCTTGTTTCTTAATCAACCGACCATGCCTTTGCTACCAAAACAGTACGATGACATATGCGAAAGTCCTCACATCCCATTTCCATTTCATTTAAACGCTTCTTGTCCTTTGATTTTCACAGTTATCCGTCTTTTGTGCTTGAATTTCACTACCCTTTACCTCCATATCGGCACTGAAACCTATCGAGTTCTCGATTTTTTATCCGACGGTGTACTCGTGGACTTCCCCGGAACCACCGGTTGTCGTCAGTACAATGACTTGAACGGCTTGGTTTTACAAAAAACGACTACTTTGGTATCTCCAACGACAACGTCATAGGTCTATATGATTTGGAGGACTCTTCTTTGTGTAAAACGGGTTATGAAACAAAAGACTTGCCCGGTTGTGATTGAAACTACGGTGGATCTATTACATGCTGTTATCCGCTTTCCAATCACAGCATTTGGCATTTCAATGATGGGTTCTCGAGCTTTTCAAAATTCAGGTGCCGAGGATTTTCATCATGGCTAGTTGCTCAGGGTTCCAACACCAGTAAACGTGGGGTTAAGCTGGAGTGGGTGATTCCTAGAAACTCATCCGATAGAGTTCGTGCTAATGATGCATATATGGTGAATGCCATTGCAGTTTAAGCAACGGTCAGGTGCCTGTGCAAGGAGTGTTCTTAAATTCCTTCTTTGTTCTTTATTTGCTTTCTCCCAGTATCACATAGAATTGTTGGGTATCTGGAAGAGGAAGCCATTCATTCATATACAGAGTATTTGAAGAACAATGAAAGTGGGGTTGTTAAGACTTTCTTGGAGCCTGCGTTTCTATTCCATATTTTACATTTTTTTAACATTTTTTATTCTCTTAATTAATTTATTTATTTTTTCCTTTTCCCCTTTAATTTATTTAGTATTTATTTTTTTATCTAACATTTTTTACGTTCTTTTTTTAGGGGAATTTTTAATCAATTAAAGGTAATTATTCGAATCGATATTTTAAATTTAAATTTAAATTTTCGCAATAAAGACAATCGATAAATTAATTAGTACCGAAAAGGCGGTTCAAGGGCGTTAATCCTTCCTTGACCGTAACCGACTCCCGAACCTGACACATTTCAGGTAAAACGCAGATCAGGTAAGATGGTGTCTGATCAACTTAAATATTTTTTAAAATGATCGATGGCGACTCTAACCCAACTATTCAAGTCGAAGCCCAATTCTGAGGTCCAACCGAAAAGCGGCCGCGACAACTACTATGCAATATAACCCTTAGGATTGCAAACGGGATCTCATAAATTTGTTTTAAAATAATTTAGATTAAAGATGTTTCAATTATCATATTGTAATATCTCCTACTTGATCGAACGCCCGAGTTGAATAAGGGTGTTACAAAATTTCTTAAGCTTTTTTTAGAACACAAACCATTTTAAGAATAATGATATGTGGATTACATTCTATCTATCCCACTTACATTTTTCATTGATTAATTTATTTTCTCAAAACAAACTCAGAAACACAGCATCATGAATATCTTGCAAAGTCCCAACAAGTGCCTAAAATGTCTATAATGCAGCGGAGAGAAAGGGGTGAATGGAAAATAAAACAAGCTAATTCTGATATTGCACATTGGTCAAGTCTTTATGAATTTGTGATCAATCAAAACAGTCTTAATTCAGTGTATGTCTAGCTACAAGCACTACATTATTTCTGTCAATGTGAATGATTAAATTCAACAATAAGCCAGTAATTGAAAAGTTAGCTTCTTATCTAATTAAGACTGGAACCCATGCTCAGCTAAAACATCTACATTTCCCTCATTTTCTTCTTCAACATCCAAGGCTGATATTTCTTGGTCAATGTCATCATTCAATAAATCATCCCAAAACCCTTGATCAAGGCTTTTATCTCTACTGCCATATTGTTCTTTGCTTTCCTCCTCTATGATATTTTGGCTCTCACTCAATCCCTGCAAGCTCATAGCAAGTCTGTCTAACTCAGTAACTTCAAACTCACCAATATCATGCTCCTCAGGTTCAGTTTTGGCTCTTAATACTCCACTAGCTTCAACGCCAACGGACCTTCGATCGATCCGTCTTTGTCTCTTCTTGGTGATTGTTTCCTCAAGTCCTTTTCTCCTGTCTTTGTGTTGGATTATTTGTTGCACAAAGCATGGGTTCTGCATTGCTTTGGCCAAGAAACTCATCATTTGTTTCTGTTTCAACTCAGTCTTCCTAAGTCTTTCTTCCATCAGTTGCAGGCAAGTTCTAGTGTTGTGCTGTTGCTGTCTGAGTTTTACCAATTCCGCCATTAAAACCTGCTTGTCAAGCCTTAACCTATCAATCTCCCCATCAAGACCAAACTTCCCAACTTCAACAGAAGGCTCTAAAGCATATTGTGAAGGCAGAGGTGCATGTGTTTTTCTCCTCCTAATATTCTTAAGCAAATGCCTTTGCCCTCTAAGAAACCTTTCATTAGCGAACTCCCATCTCTCTGGATCAACCTTTCTAAACCCCTACATCAACCAAGTATATTTTTCTCAATTACCAAATTCAAAAGTATTCAAGAAAAGCCAAAAATGCCTAACTTCCATAAAATATCGACATAAATCCACATTAATTTTGATTCAATGTACAATGTAACATGTGAGCTTTGATTTAGTTTTATCATGCACATCAAATTTATATTATGATTTAATTTTGGTGTTAGTGTATACATTTAGTGAAATAGATAATTCCAATTATTTTCATATAAATATAATTATGATTGTAAATAGTTCCACATTGTTAACACTGATAATGATTATGAAATTAAAATTAAAATTTTGCATATAACATTATACAAAATCAACAATCGTGTTTAGTTTTGTGATTTATCTTTTAATGGTAAAATTTCTAATGCAACAAAGATGCAGAAGCTAAAGGCATCAGAATATAGAGAAATAAATGCATGGTTATGATTTCTGCACTTTCCATTTCCTAACTAGTAAACAAACAAAAATGTCCACAATTAGTAACCTTATCAAACAGTAAGGAATATTTTTTTAAAAAATGAAACAGTAAGGAAAAACCAGAAAAATTAGGAAGAAAAATAAGTAGAAACAAAATAAACAATCTAACTGTCTGATGACTATGTCTAGGATTTAAATAGCGGTAGTTATATAGTGATAAAGGTGTCATCCGAAATGTTATTTCACGATTGCGATAAACGTAACGTAATTTAAATCCCTGATGTATACAGTTTGGCATAATTGTAGCGTTTCCTTACATAGGTGTTGAGCTGCCTGACAAAGCTTGAGAAGTTGTTGTGCTTGAAGAATCTAGGCAAAAGAGTCATGGAAAATGTCCGGGGATCCCATACGATGAAACTGTTGTTGGCTCTACTCCAGGAGATGATGTGATTGGTGGCTGAATCGTCGATAATATCATATGTTTTTGTGAGGAAAGGAGGGGGACCTGCATCGTGGAGTCCTTCCATTGGTTGAGCGCTAACCATTGAAGCTGCTGCATATGAAGAGCTTGCTCCTGCAAATTCTTCCTTGGTTCTTCCATAGGGATTCATCTTTGTTTCTGTATAAACCTGAAGCTTTTTCTGGTGGCCTGTTGGGTGTTGGAAAGAGCTTCAAAACTGGGGATTGAAATTCAGATCAAGCTAAAGAAAGTAGAGAGGTTTAGAGTGAAATCAGTTTAGTTACAGTGGTTTAAGAGACCAAAGTGATGTGAACAAGGGTGTCATTAGTTTATATAAATATGGTTAATAGAAAATTTATTTTATATTTTCAACACATTTCTTTTCCTCTTGTTGGTTGATAGGACGGCCATAAATAGCAGATTCGAGCTCCAATATTACTGAACTCAACTCGAAAAAATATAAAACTTAATTTTCAAAAATTTATAAGTTTAAAATTGTCTTTTATTCGAATTCGAAATAAAAAATTAAAGCTCAACTTAAAAACTTATGAGTTTAACATTTTTAGTTTTAATTAAATTGATTTTAAAAAACTCACGGCGTGTCTAGTATCATTTACAACCTTAATTGAGAGATTAATAATACAAAAAGAGAATGATAATGAGATTTTTTTTTTGTCTCATGCAGGTGACTAAATGCAGACTGTTTCGCAAGGTGGATATTTTAGTAAATGTAAATTCCTTTAACTTTCACTCCCCTCGTAATTAACCTTTTTCACATTTACATTCATGAAAGTATATTATATGTAAAAAAAAGGAATTTCATTGTGATTAATGTTGTTTAAATTTGAGTTTTGAAAAAATAAAAAAAGTAATACCTTTTGCTTGGGAAGTCGGGCAGTGGCACGGGGTTTCTTCAAAATATCTTAGTGTTGTGCTCTTTTGATTGGAAAATATCTAAGCATTCGAGTATTATTCTATGCAGTAATCAAATTGGATTCAACTTGGCTACATTATAAAATTCTAGCATTGTAAATTGGACCCTACATTCTTTTATTTATTTTTTCTTCTCATTTTCTAATTTTGGGTTGGCAAAGCGACAGTTGATTTGTATGATACTGTGTCACAATCTCATTAGTTCACACTTTTATTCTTTAATCAGCTGCTGAAAGTTTACAGGTTGGACTTCTATTTATATATATCGTTAACTACAACTACATTATCATACGCCATGTGTCTTTCCATTATAATCAAAGTGACTCCAAGGCTTTTCTTATTACTCATCTCCAGTTTCCATTGTAAGTTTCTTGTTGGTTTTTTAAATTTTTAATTCGAACAATTACATTCATAGTGTGTTGTAATGATTAAAAAAAATTAATTATTAAAAAAATCTTTATATATTTAGAAAATAATATTTAAAAAAATTAATGTCGGTTAAGTAGAGAAAGTCTCAGTGAAACTGTTGAACAATATAATTAGGAGGCAAACGTGACAAGACAAGGAGCTACAGAATGACTTGGACCTAAACACATGCTTATGCATTAACTAATCATCACCAAGTATTGTGGATTTTACAGTGATTGTTATCAAAAAGAAGTTAATTGATAAATAATGAAATGTGAATAGTTTCTTAAAAATACTCGCGAATATCTCTTATATTTGAATTAAAATATATTTACTTATCAGATTTCTAAGATAGAGAGCTATTTCAATATTTTAAATATATATATAAAGATGGTTTATGTAAAAGTGATTAATATCACTTGATTACTGAAAGAAAAAGATAAAATAACTTCAGTTATCGAAAATGTCTTATAATATACGATTCTAACTATTTTTTTTGGATTTACGAAAATGACCAACAAATTCGTAACGCGAAGTCCAATTTCGCAATACAGGTTCCAAAATCGCAACGCGAATAGTTAAATCGTAACGTGAATAGATAAATCGTAACGCGAATAGATAAATCACAACGCATAAGTCAAATTCGCAATGCATAAGTCAAATTCGTAACACATAAGTCAAATTCGCAACGCGAATTTTATTTTCAAATTCGAAACACAATATTAATTTCGCAACACAAATGTAAACAGTATAATCGCAAATCAAAACCTAAAACCCTAAATCACAACTTAGTCTCATCTCCATCTCTCACTCTCTACGGTGACATCCGTCCCCATCTCCGGCGAAATCCGTCCACATATCTGGCGACCCCCCTCTATCTCCATCTCTCAGAGCCACCCTCATAACCATTCACGGCCACAAATGGAAAATCAACCACCGATGGTTAGTTTTTTAATTATTTTTATTTTGAAATTTTTGTATTATTATTAGATTTTTCATATTTAAATTGATGATAAATTTACTGGTAATTTCAATAATATATTAATCATTTCACTTAGATTGCTTAGTAAATTCATTCGGTTTTTGTCTTTGTTTTGTCTTTAACCCTGTGAAGTTAGTATTTGCCTTTGTTTTGTCCTTTGGTTGAAGTAATGCAATTCATTCAAGTTTCAATTTGCAGAAGAATAGTTTTTGAACCTTAAATTCGCAACACGAAAATGTAAATCGTAACGCGAAAATGAAAATCGCAACGTTACTAAAATGAAATTTGCGTTGCGATTTTCATTTCGCGTTGCGATTTTAAGTTTCAGAAACTACTCTTCTTCTGCAAATTGAAACTTGAATGAATTGCATTACTTCAACCAAAAAACAAAGAAAAATACTAACTTCACAGTGTTGCAAATTTAAGTTTCAAGAATAAACTACTACTCTTTATGTTGTCCTTGAACCTGCACTAAACATATATGTTGTCCTTTTAAATGTTTATATAAGTGCTTACTTCTGGAATGTTATCTGATGCATTTTGTGAACTATGATAGAATAATGACTTTGGTGAATACCGTGCTAGTTTGAAACATATTTGGTTTTGTTTTCACTGTTTAATATCATGTCTGTTTATAGTGTATGTTTTTGGTATATCTAACTTGGTATGTTATTATTGTTTTTGTTAGGAATTTTTTTCGGCTTCATTGACTCTAAGGAATAAATTAAGCCAAGCCGCTACAATTGCTAAGACACTTACACATGTACAAACAAAATTGTTTGAGGTTACCCTCTTCGGGCCATGGCTGAAAGTACAACATACAGGTAGAGATGCTATGTTGACCCATTTGTTTCTTCAGACCATGACTAACGATCTACCTGAGAGGATACAACGTGGTGATGAAGAGATATGGTTTCATTTTCCACCGGCGTATACTTGTTTTGGGCGGGAGGAGTTTTGCTTAATCACTGGTCTACACTTCGGACACGATGAAGTAGGTCGGTACACTATTCATATTGCCCGCCCATCATGGTTATATCGGGTTTTTACTGAGCTGGCAAAGGCGAATTGAAAAGATTACTTCTTAAAGATGGTTTTACTCGGATGGATGACCTCGATGTTGTCCGAGTATGCCTTTTATTACTTTTGTATGCCGATTTTTTAGGCAAAGAGGCCAGACAACCTATTTCTGAGGACCTAATATTATTGGTAGATGACCTAAATACATGGAAAGTGTTTCCATGGGATTCATATCTATGGAAAGCTACCTGGAAAAAGTTATCGTCTTCCTTTGAGGACCGAAAAAGTTTGTGTGGCCATGGTTCCAAATACACTTTGGCAGGCTTTATTTGGGCCTTTAAGGTAAGAATTTCTATATAATGTTTCCAAAATTATAATTAATTATTTAACAATTACTAATGTTTGTGTATTATATTGTTTGTAGATTTGGATATTTGAGACTTTTCCTAGCATGCAGACATATGCAATCAAAAATTCAAATGATATTCCTAGGGCTATTTCTTGGATGAGGATCTAGCGGTTGGATTAGAAAGAGTTACTACCATATACGACGATTAATGATGTAAGTTAGCACAAATACTACCATATATAAACAACTTATTACTAGTAGACGTTTAACTTTTTTTGAGCTTTTATATTGTTAAGAGGCCAACTATCCATTACAGAGGCTGACACCCACAGAGACTGAGCTTGCCACTGGTTGGTGGCAAGCTAATAAGCATTTTTTTGATGGCACGGATGATGAGCACCCCCCACTTCGAGAGCCATCACCTGATCGAGCCGATTCTATAGCTCGACACCTAGAGTCATCACCTCCACAACGAGAGCCATCATCTATTTCATCACATCATCGAGCCTCTTCTCCACCATCACCTCATGATAGGCGACCGACAAAGATGGCACGACATTTATCTCCCTGTTCTCCACCTCTACGGGATGAGTTAGGGGAGTTACGTGATGAGGTCAATGCTTTGCGTGAGGAGGTCGATACTTTATGTGAAGACAATAGTGCATGGCGTGATGAGGTATTGTCTTTACGTGGTGAGGTAGAGGTTTTATGCGATGACAATGATGCTTTACGTGGTAAGGTATCTACTTTACGTGATGAGATAGCCGCTCTACGTGAGATTGTTGTATCGTTACATAATGAGGTTCATACTCTACGCAATAAGGTAAGTTTGTTTAATACTATACTAAAAATGCAAATAATCTTTTTTCGGCATTATTTATTGGTTTATTTACTGATTTATGTATTAATTTATTTTTAGCGACCCGATAAGGTAGATGCTTTACGTCAGGTTTTTCTTGCATAATAGGGTTCACGCATCAGACGTTGTGCACATGTCATTACGTCTCTGTTCACCCCAATAGTGCCAAGACTCCGTAGAAGCCTGATTCACCTGTCATCGTTCAAGAGGCCCCTATCATCCTTTAAGAGGCCCCTACCACCATTCAATAGGCCACTGTCATCGTTCAAGAGGTCCCTCCCACCGTTCAAGAGCCTGATTCACATGGCATAATATGTCGACATATTGATAAACCCCCTCACGTGACCGACATGATGGATGAGAGTTGGATTTCGTATGAGTTACCGGTCAGTACCATTCCGCTATCTGAAGTGGAGACGATAACACTACCGGACACAATTCTGGATAATACCCTTTGGGCTAAGACCGCAGTTGATTTTTATCTACATGAGAGGAGCCAGGGGTGTTACGCTGACATATGCAAACTCGACGATGATATGCATTTGTTTCTTGATCGGTCTTGGTGGGGTGTGTTATTAGGGGTTGAAGACAATGGCTATTTCGAAGGGGGGTAAGTCTTATATTCTTCTTATATTTC